TGATTATTTTTAAATTGTAACTATTTCCCGCAAAAAAAAAAAAATGTTGTTTACTAATTTTGGAAACTATTTAAACATTTTATGGTATGTTTTAAAGATACAATTTAGATTATTGCGGCTGATTTATTAAGGTAATAAATCACATAAAAATTTCTTTTGTATCTCAAAATATGCATATCATATAGTTGTACATATATATCATATACTTGTACCTAAAATATCGAGATCTATCACATTCCTAACAAACATTAAATTTATTTATATATTTTAGAATTAAACACATCAATAAATAATATCAATATACATTAAATATTTATCATTTATCATTATATAAAAAGAGGAATATTACTTCTATGAGTACTATAAATAATATTGATATTATACGACAATAAATTTTTCAATAAAATAATATTTGAGTATTATGATGAACCAAATATGTAAAGATATTAGTTTTTTGCATAGTTTTTAAACCCGACCCAGTAATCAACTTGGGCAGGTCTCCGGGTCATCGGGTCACCGGTTCAACCTTCGGGTCACCGGGTCAATTGTTGAACCGGATAATTAATTTTAAAATTTTTAAAATTATATATAGGATATTTTTGTCATATAAATATACATAAAAGTAAAAAAAAAAAAAAATGTTGAGTTTATAAAATTTGTACATTAAAGTGTTAATAATATGTATCTCATGATAATATTTACCATATAAACATATATACATAGTTTTATTTTGAAAAAAAAAACCAAAAAAAAAACAAAAAAAAACAAAAATTTAAAAAAAAAATATATATACTGGCAGTGTCAACCGGGCTGACCCGGCCGGGTCAATGCACCGGGTCAGCCGGGTTTTGACCGGGTCTTTGTTGCCCCGGTCCAAATTGTCCACTTGGACCGGTTCCGGCTCCGGGTCGACTCGTCGGGCCGGTCCGGGCCAAAAAACTATGATTTTTTCATATTAAAAAATAAATATATATGTTGAAATGTTATTTATCTAATACATTGTCAAAATAAAGTTTTGCAAAAATAAAGGTAAGGGTTCTATAATATGGTTTATTCTGTATAAATGTGGTCGTATAGTTTTTACATGCATGTGATTGTGGGCCGTAGCCCGAATGTGTGATGCGAATTTTTACCATGGCGGCTTGAAATAAGAGTCACTAGGCCAGATAATCAGTTAAGTTTTCTACTAGCGGGATTGGGTAATGCCAATAGCACAAGTAGAGTTATTTATTAGCGAGATCGGTTGATGCCGAATGCACTAGTAAGTAACCATACCGACGTTCATGAACTCAGGTTAACGGCGTATAATAGCTAATCAGCCGAGTAAATTATGGAGACTTGAAATAAGAGTCACTAGTCTGAATTTACCTAGAGTCTTGAAGCCGAAATGGTATCAATCAGCGGTGAGACAGTAAGCTTTACATGTTCATCTAATTATTATCTTATCTGTGATTATGTTGAATCGATGTATATAAGCCGAGAGACGGTGCTCACCCCTTTGTTTTTCAAGTTGCGAGCTGTCGGCGAATACGAGAGGACGGGCATGGTCGTCTTTAATTATGTTTTTATATTTCTGCAAACTGTATTGAAATTTAAATTCAATTTGAATGTTTGAATTACGGTTCGATTAATCGAAACATGTTTATTTTGAAACATTTATTTATGTTCTGTCTTGAAAGAAAAAATAGTTTCTGAATAATATCCGTTTAATTTAAATTGGAAAAAGGGAAACTTTTTAAAAGTTCAAATTTTTCTGAAAATCCGTATTTCTTTTAAATAAAGGAAATGGGCATTACACAATGCATCTACTCCCCCCTCCATCTTTGATTCTCCACCAAAAATTTGCAATGTCCTTACCAATATCCTTAAGGACACTCACTGGCACCCTGAAACAAGAAAGAACATAGGTAGGGAGAGCTTAAAGAACAGATTTGATAAGCACTTCCCTACCTGCTGCCTCACCGAGGAATTTATTTATCCAGCTTTTGAGTCTCTGAGACATACTCACAAAGGCAAAAATCTCTCTTTTTTTTTCCTTCCAATCCCTAAACCCTAAACCCTAAAGGTAACCCAAGATACTTTGAGGATTTCACCCTAGAAATGCCGGTCAGCACATTGCACATTGAAGAAACAGAGTCCTCTGAAGCATTTTTAGAAGAGAAAATGGAGAACTTATCTATGTTGACCTTTTGCCCAGAACCATTGCCATAATCAGCGAGAATTTTTAGCACAGAATTTGCATGATGTAAATCATCTTTGCAAAACAAAATAGTGCGAGAAAGTGTATAAAATACTGATGATGGATAGCATAACGCTCCTTAAATGAAAGGAAGAGAAGTATTCGTAATGATTGACTAGGGAAATCGAAACCAAAGCCTAGCAACATTTAACTAACATCAGCACGAAAGTTTTATCATTCGCTTGATGAGAAACTTGTAATCTTTCACTGCAGTAGAGGTCCAAATTAAGTTCTTTGACAGTGGATTGGGTTGTAAAATTGTTCATACATACATTCAAAAATATCTAGCTCCAAAGACCATGACCAGAAAATTCCCTAGCATTTTGCAGAAATCTTCAATTTCGCAACACCTTAAACTAATAGAAAACATAAAATGATCATTCGTACTCACGATTAAAGCTAAGATGAATGATTTTACAGCAGCTTAGCTTAATAACACACAAATATTTCCAGAAAGATAGCTAATAGAGATGGGCGAAAAAGACAGACACAAAATAAAGGGATTCTATGTTGATAGAGACTCAAATATAAAATCTTGTTCAAGCCAACTTATTCCATTTTTTAGCCCATTGAGCTTATTGATCAAATCAAATCTACATTGTTTCAACCCATAAAAGGGAATCGATTTACCTGCTCATTCATCGCCTAACGCTAAGTCTTATATAATTACTATTATTTCAATCTTCTTTTTCTTGATTCTTATTTCTTAACCTTTCGATACTTCCGAGGCCCCATAACCTCCATACGCCCAACCGAACACCCGCACCTCGTGCGAAACACCAAAACCGCCCTCCCGTTGGGCGGGGCCATCTTTTTGAGATCTGCCTCCAGTTCCTTATGGTGCACTTCATACAATTCCTTCTGCAACGATTTATTTGAATTATCTTCAGTCTCCAACCGAACATCGAACTCCGGAGCCTTCCGGAGCCCACGGCAGCCCGGTTTTCCACACCTACTGTCCGTGCAAACGGCAATCGCCAAAAGTGCCATTGATGTGAAAAATAGGCTGACCCCTAAGCAACCAAAAACCATAGGTGATCGAGTAATCTCCTCAAAAAACACCTCAACAACTTCCCCACCGACTTCGAGGCTCTTACGGGCTAAAATCTTTGCATAAGGATAGAACAGGAAACAAGAGGCGCAAATTACAGCAATCAGGATTATTACATCGATTACGGCGTGAGGCGACTGGTCGCAATCGGGAACGGAGGCTCTTCTGCTCCGGTGGAGCTGGTTGATCTGCTTCGATTTGGGGAAAGGGGTGGGAGAATTTAGGGATTTAGCCATGGCCGCGTGGCCCTCGAGAAATACCATTTGGGTTCGGGCTGAAAACCTGTGAGATGTCAAAGATCGAATCTTTATCGCAGACCCACCAATACCAAACCGGAATCTCGATCGGAAAGCAGTTCTCCGACTGGTTTTTTTTTTTTTTCGATCAACCCGAGCTGGACAATCGGAGAAAACAGATGTAATAGCAAATTAATTCAGAAAAAAATGCCAAAATCAAGAATCTTCAGCTATTAGGGTAAGGACAGAGGTGTTATATGCGATTCAGGAACAAAAATCTACAGTGCAACGATTGAAAATCGAAACGATGTTCAGTGAATTTGTGGCTGGAGATTTATCAGTGCGAAAAAGAAGTGTTTAGGGTTCAAAAGTAAGTCATAATGGGCACACTGCATCTTTTTTCTTTATTTATATATATATATGGAGAGTAGAGATGTAAACAAGCCGAACGTGCCGAACAAAAGCTCGTTCGAGCTCATTCGTGTTCGATAAAAGCTCATTCGTTTATTAATCGAGCCGAGTTCGAACATAAAATTAGGCTCGTTTAATAATCGAACGAACACGAGCTTGTTCGTGAACGTTCGATTATGTTCGCGAACATTAATTTAATATAATTTTATTTTCTTTTTTATATATTTACATAATATTTTTAATAAAATATCTAAAATATAAAAATATTGTTGTTTTATTCTTTTATTTTTCGAGTTCGAACGAGTTCGAACGAACAAATTTCGAGTTAATCAAACATATTTAAAAAGTTTAAGTATTAAATTATTCGAACACGAACAAACTCGAACTTTGACGAACAATTAAACGAACGAACTCGAACACGATTTTTTGCTCGAAAAATAAATAAACAAATACGAACACTGTTCGAACGTAAACGGACACGAGCTCGAACAGCCCAAGCTCGGTTCGGTTCGATTTGTTTACAGCACTAATCGAGGGTCAGTTTTTTTTTTTTTTCTCTCATTTTTTATTTTATTTTTATTATGATTTTGGGCCTGTTGGATGGGCCATGTGGGCCGGAGTTTAGTGTGATGTCTAGCGGATTTGAAAATGATTTAGTTGTGATTAGCTTGGTGGGCACTGGGCAGTGACATGAGATGTTGGGCCCAACGTCCAATGTGTTTCAACTTTCTAGATCAGGATGAAATTATTGCGGCAAATGTTATTTTTCAATCTACATTTAATGATGATACGAGTAATTTGTATTCTCACCTTATTTGTATAAAATCGTGGGTTGTTTCTCCTTTATTTCAATAATTATGGTGATCTATGATTTATCACTCAAACTAGTCCATGATTAGGGTGTACATAAGTCGAGTCCATAAACTGGTTGGAGTTCAACTGGTTTATCAATATTAACCAGTCAAACCCGAATTTTAGTGGTCTAGGTTGTAGAAAATTAAATAAAAATAAAAATTATATTTTTTAGCCTGAGTTCGACTCGTTGACCCGAACAAACTATAAACAAGTTCGCATTCGACTTATTTAATAGCGAGTTCGAACTTACGAGCTACATGTTCGTTCAACAACTCTTTATTATTGACTTATATTGTATTATTATATGTTGTAGTCCATTTAAATTGAAGGTCTGTATAGTTTTATGCAAATAATACAGTCAACTACGTTCGGCATTACCCTTATTTTGGGAAATAGCCCATTACTTTTAAGAAAAGGCTACATGCATAGTGGCCCATTAAATGGAAACCTAGAGAAATTCAATAAATTCAACTTAAGCCCAAAGGGCTACATCTCTTGTAACCCAACATAAAGATGATAATTTCACGTAGCACTATTGTATAATGTATACACAACCATGTTGATTTAATACTTTAGACCAAGATTGCAAACGAGTCGAGAGTTGAGTCGAACATCAGCCTTATCGTATTAGTGGTATATAAATAAATTACACTTCTAGTTCAAGTTCGATTTGCTCGAGGTTAGCTCGTGCTCAATCAAACATGATGTCAAGCTGAGTTTTGACTTGAGCAACTCGCGAGAGGCTCGATTCGTTTGTAGCCCTAGCTGACCACCAAAATACCAACCAAAACAAATATTTTATGCAATATTGCTTCGGTAGGTCTTCTCTTAGGCCAACATAAATATTATTAGACCGACATACTATTTTCACGAATATCATACTTTTTACTTGAAAAATGTGATATTTTAGAAACAACAATCAATAAAATTATGACTATAACTTTTGATAGTATAATAAATATACAATTTACTAGAAAAAATGTGATATTTTAGAATCATTTTCACTATTAATAAGCTGACCCAAAATACAATAAGCTCCATGACATGTTCTAGTGCCTTTATTGCAGTGACACGTGTCACGAAGACGACCATGAAATAAATATGTGAAATCTTTTTATATATTTATAAAAAAATAAATTAGAAGAATGGAAAAGGGGAAAAAGCATAGCCACTAAAGTTTAGGTGGTTTGGTAACTGTTAGCTTCAGTGGGCTTCTATTTAGCTCAGCTTCAAGAAAAAGCTCTTTTATGGTTACATATTAGCACAAATTTTGGACTAACACGTGTTATAATTAGATGTATTAGATTAATTTAATTTTTAAATAAAAAATCATATTTATACTATGAAATATTTTTTATCTTGTTATGTGCAATTTTTCTATATGGCTAACATGGATATATGTCAAGTGAAACATATCATATTCCTTAATTAATAAAAAACACAATCAATTCTTTTTAATTGATAAGTTTTTATTTGCCACTAGTTGGTTTGACTATTAAGTACAAACCGAATATATTTCCTATCAATTTTCTTATGGAGTCATCGAATGGATCGACTTATTAAATAATTCACACTCATTAACCAATAATGTATTTGCACGTGTCATACAATAAATATAATTTAAAAAAATGTCAATGCATTAAGTGGTGGATGTACAAGAAAAACCATCTCATTTGCATTATCAATTGTAGGTTAGCTATTTTGATCTTTTCAAATCTAATGTCAATCAAAATGCAAAAGAAAAAAATCAAGATCTGCAATGGAAAATGCAAATTTGGTGTTCCATGAAATTATTTATTATTTATTTATTTATTTATTTCAACCATATCTCAATCTAAATGCAAAATAAAATTCTCTAGATTTACCATGGGAAATTCAAATCTGGTTTTCCATATATTAACTTAATTTTTTTTTTTTTTTTTTATTTTTTTGTAATTGTTCATACTTAGGGGGATTTACCTAGATTTAGCTACATATAATATATATATGTATATCCATCACTTGCATAATGGGGAACACAAACTATAAAACCACATCAATGATATATGTGGCTACCAATGAAAGTGAACAAATATTTTCAAAAAAAAAAAAAAGAACAAGAAAAAAGAAAAAGAAGAAAGGAAGCATATAATATGATGATGATCAATTAAACACCTATATATTATTCTATTGGAACAAAAAAAAAAAGAATCAAATCACAAATGTCACTTGGCTTTTGTGATTAGTTTGAGGTTACATATAGCATTACAACAAAGCAAAAAATAATGGAGATGATAAACCCACTTGGCTTTCTTAAAATATTTCTTAATGATTAAATTATATATTAGTACTAAATAGTAAATAGTACATAGCATGTGGGTAAAGTGGAGTTTAAGATCATAACTAACATGTTTATGGATAATCTATAATCAAGAACATGAACTAATTAATTCAATGGATGGGGTGGGCATAACACTTAAAAATAGGTCACTTTTTCCTTCACTTTAAACAAAGCTACTTTGGTATCCCCATAAAAAGGGGGTGAAATAAATAAAAAAATAAGAAGAAAAGTAGATGGACTTTTCATAAAGTGCAACTAGAAACACAATTGAATATAGAAAATACTTTAGTGCACTTGCTTTCACCTTAAGGAACAATCCCTCCCCAAAATATTACTTTGTTGCACAACAAAGAAAGGTTGCATAGCTCTATTAAATGTCCCACAAAAACAGGCATGTTATTTTAGTTTTTAAATAGAGCATTCAATTTATATATATTACTATATAAACAAGTAAAATGATTAAATATACTAGTACAATTATTAGAGTAATTTTAATTTTATTGAATAAAAAAAATATATGAGGCCACATAACAGTTAGGCAAATCGACTGTCATGTTTTTTTGAATAAAATGCATACTCCTGAAAAATGTTATACTTTTATTTATACTATTTTTTAGAAGCATGGTACTTGTGTCTAAAAAATATATTCATGAAAAAATACAATTACCTAACTAATAGGTTTGACTAATAGCAACTCTACCAATTCATTATTTTCAAGTATGAATTTATTTTAAAGTGGAAAGCCAATTGCAAAACTATGTAAAAACAATATAGCCAACCAGTTAAAAAAAAAAAAACAAATAACATTTTCACTATAAAAATATCAAAAATTCTATGGAGACATCGGATGGTTTTTCTTATGGAGTCTTACACCACTTAATGTATTGATACATGTCTAAAGTGTGTTTATTGTATCACACATGGCAATACACTATTTGAGAATAAGTATTGATGACTCCATAAGTCGAGCCATCTGATGACTCGACAGCAAAACTGATAAAAAAAAAATATAGTCAATGACAATCAATAGCCATCCAACTAAAGTTTCAAGTAAAGCATATCCAAAAGCTTGAAATGTAAAACAATGAAACCTCAAGCAAACCATGGGGACAAAATAACAAACTCAAGGGCAGAAACAGTAAATAACTATAAATGAGGGGGTTAAAAGAGCAATAAAAGAAAAAGGGGAGGAAAAAAAGGTGCTGAGTCAGTCCACTTTTTGGCACAAAAGAATCAAAAGAAAAAGGTGAAAGAGTGGCTAAAAATGAGAAAAAAAAAA